ACATATACTTCGTAGACATCCTTAATCTCTAATAACTCCATTCTGCTGTCTGTTGTTCTGTTGTCGGTGTTTCATTGTTTGAATATGGCACTTATCACATGCTGTGTGGTATCGGTGTTTGGTATCGGGGCATTTTAATGAGTACGAGTACGAGTACAGGAGCTCAGTATCGGGCCCGATACTGATACCAGTATCGGTATCGGTGCATCCCTTGTATACAAACGTAACACATTTTTCTTAAATATATACATGCATGTGTGTGTATTTATATATACATAACAAATATGCACAGTTCACACACATATTATGTAAACAAAAACCTTTTTTTGGATGTGATTAATCATTTGACAGCAGTAATATATATATATATATATATATATGTATATTAGTGCTGTCAAACTATATATAATAGACAAGTATACAGTATATACTCATCAACATATACATGTTGATGAGTAATTCATATGAAAATGAAACTTAATAAAAACGACTTATTTTACTCATTTAATTTGAATCTAAATGCCGTGAATTCAAACTTGAATTACAGATTTAATTTTTTTTGCTCTAGCATCAGTTTAAATCCTGTTACAATTCCGAGAACTGAATTGGAATTTAAAAGACTTTCTCTGTTCAGTTCTGAACCTCTCAACCCTGCTATGGCAATGAGTGGATGAATGTCATCGTAACAGGTTGATAAAAAAGATTGATTATGCTGTTTGTTGTGTAATGGCCTGTGAATTCTGACTTTCAGGCTGGAAGGGGAACCTGTGTCAGCACTCTCTGGCTCTGTTTGTGAGTGTTGCTGTTCTGGTGCCCTGTGCAGTGCTAAGCGTCTACTACCTTTCTGCTGCAGACCTTTGTGTTACGGCTGGAGTTTGTGCTCAATGCTGTGCTGCTCTGCTTCTACAGCTTTGAGCTGGTTCTGGGGCTCATGACCATCTTGGTTTTTTCAAGGTAACTGCTTCTGTATTTTGTATGTTTTTCAACATATTTATCCTATAGTTATAAAGAGACATACACGTTATGAAAAGACATGCATGGAATAGAATAAACATGCAAGTGGAAATTTACAGAACTGACTGTCTTTTTAAAATACTAGATATTTATACTCAGCATTTTTTCACTCTCTTTCAGGGCCAACATTTATTAAGTTCATCTGTTTTTTGATGTCAGAATGAAAACACTGAACAGAATAAGCTTGCAGTCTTTCAAACTGAGAGCTGTCAACAGTTACCTTTTTTACAATACATGTAAGTTACATAAAACAGACATTTCATTTGTACAGTTTTTCAAACAAATAGATTAAGCATCTTTATTAAATAGATCTTGAGATGTTATAAAAGCTATTTCCAGTGTGCACAGATTTTTTTTAAATAATGTGTTGTTAATTGCAATGTAAATGTATTTATGTAAATATAGACTGCCATTATTAAATGGTAGAGTGAAACAATTGTGTCGTCATAATTTTAACACTTAATCATGCACATACACGTTTTAGAAATGTTTCAAAATGCATATTTTCGAAATGTGAAACATTGTGAAATGTATTACAATTTTAAGTAACTGTTTTCTATTTGAACATTATACATTATTTTTCTGGATTTTTGATGAACAAAGTTCAAAATAACAGCTAGATTTTTTTGTAACATTATAAAGGTCTTTACTGTCGCACATGATCAATTTAATGAATTTGTTTCATTATTTTCATTTCATTTTTTTATCCTAATAACCTCAAACTTTTGCCTTTTGAGTAAGGAGACAACTGAACCAGACCCTCATGTACATAATACTGAAGGGAACTGAAAGCTCTTGAAGCTTTTCTTGATTGTATGTTTGCAGGTTTGCAACACTAAATTAGTGACAATTCTGGCAAGCAACAACCTAAAGTTCTTAATTTTCCAGATGTTCTAACTGTGTCAACACATGTTTATATGCATACTGTGACTGCTGTCAGGTGAATGTCCTAATCCTAATTACTGTTGGACACAAGATTATGACTCCTCTTTAAAACCATCTCCAGTAACCCCAAGTGATTCTCAGCATCCTGCTGCCCAGGTCAACACAGAGCCTTTGTGCAATTCTCAATATGACCTGTAGAGATCAGTGCGACGCTAGCAATTCTTACTGCATTTCATTCTGAGACAAAAATATACGTAAATGAATGCATGACTATTCAGAATCTAATTTTTACAAGCAGAGCGGTTGTGTCACGCCTGTTTTTAATGAATTATATTAAAAGCAACCGTTTTCTGGCATGAAACCCTGCTGAAACCATCACAGAAATTCTTATGGCTTCCACAAATACCATTATAACCGTTACAAACTATCAACTAATTAACCATTAAAACCATTAAACAAAGGTTTTCTGTAGTGTGTTTTGGGACACATTCCATTAGGATTTATTGGTTTTAACACAAAGAGGTGATGACAAATTACCAGTGGACCCACAGGGACCATTATTAAAACCAATACAATTCACAATATAACCAGTAAACCTACAAATTCTGTCAAATTATTATTATTATTTTTTTTTTGTTACAGCAGAGAAAGCAATGAAATTATTAAATAACAAACATCCACACTCAGAAAAAGGTACAAAAGCTTTAATTTGGGTGATAACTTTTCAAAAAGTACCTTATTTACCCCTAAAAGGTGCATATTACCGGTAGTACCCCCAGTGTATGTATTAATACATAAATGGTACATATTAGTATCTTTTGAAAGGGTATGGTCACCCCACCCTTATGAACATTAACCATGATTTTATTGTAGTAAAAGTGTATTAACCATGTTTGTTTTTTGGTGTATTGATTACCGTTTGTGTAACCACAGTTTTACTACAAATACCATGGTTAAACTGGTTAGTATAGCAAAACCATGGTTAATTTGTGGTTACCATGGTGTAACTATAGTAACCATGGTTTTTTGTTTTTGTTTTTTTGTAGTAAAACCATGGTTAATTTTCGTAAGGGCAGTGAAAGCTTCTTTTTTTTTCTGAGGGTGAACCATCGCCAAAACTGGATTCTATGCTAATTATTAGTGGCTACTGCTGATAAACTTGAGAAATGTGCTGGAGATGTTGCACAGCCAGATATGACTCAATGTGCAGTGAAATCTCCCTCTCTCTTTGATTAGAAATTACTAAACATTTTTCAAAGGAACAGACTGTCTTTGGCACACAGTGTGCTTCACTGCTCATACAGCAATATACTTTCCTCTGTAGTGCTCATAATCACTTAGAAAAAAATGGCGGATCTCAATCTTTGCGTTGTGTGACCAAAATACCAAGCGGGTGTATTTGAAACCCTGGAGGTGGCGACAACTTGCTATCTCAGTTTCAGATGTCTGACAGACTGCTGACTAACCACAAATATCCACAGATATACGGTTTGCATATGCGAAAAGTGTTGCCCGCTTCCTAAACCGAACAAGTGAGGGATTTTGAACATTTTGAGAGTGAGATTTCTTCTCTTTTTATGTGCACTGGAGCTCTGTTGTTAATATGCAAGGCCAGTGCTGGATTAGCGCAGGTCAACACTCTCACACAGTGTGTTATGGAGGGGATAAAAGTCTTTCATCTGAGTTGAATTAGAGCGATCCTGGATTAAATCTAAAGGTCAATGCCTAACGCCGTGTACGCCATGTTCCTCAAATCAGCAGTTTCAGTGTTTACCTTGAATCTACATTTTACACTCCCTTTCTAGTGTTAATGTGGAAAAGAATATGGAGAATTTAATATTTCAGAGGCACCTGAGAGAAATTCAATGATATCCATTATTCAAATATTATCCAGAATGTATGTTTTGATGTTGACCCATGAAAACCACAAACTATATTTGACTGCACTTGATTTTATCCTAGTCACAGTGTAATTATGCTATTAAATAATGTTAACTAACAATGTGTATTGAACTATAATGTAAATAGAAATTGTGAAATAAAGTATTAAATATTTAATTAAACTGAATTAAAAATATTTGGTAATGCTTTACAATAGACTTCTTTTTGTTTATGTTAGCTAACTACATTAGTTAAAAAATACCCCCAATGCATTTATAAATATTAGTATACATATTAGTTGTAATATCAGTAAAATTGTCAACATTTCAAAGTTTTATAACAATGAACAGATGTATTTTTGCTAACTGATATTAACAAAGGTTATTAAATATTAGGTTGCAGTTTTTTTTAAAAGGTGTAATTATACAATTAATTACTGATTAATATAATGTGTACTAGGTATGTACTGAGTATGTTTAGATTAGGGTTTGGTTTAAGGTTAGTTGCATGCAATTATGCATAATTAACTGTTATTACTATATTACTTTGTAACAAAGAGACCATAAAATAAATATTGTAACAAATGTTCTGATCATTGACCATTTTTTCCTAGCTCGATACACTTGTGGTGTTCCCAGGTAAAAATGGGAACACCACATGCTATTTTATTACCAAACATTGGATTCAATCTTTTTATTAAACTGTTTTCTTTCAACTAGCACACATTTTGTATTCCTTTTTGGAACTGATTGATCGTAGGCCTCAATCATCTGAGCTTATGCACCTCAGTTTTTGAGTGAACATTGCCAAAATGATTCACAAATAATGTTTTTGTCACTCAAAAACTGATGGTGCATAAGCTCAGACCAATGAGGTCAAATCAAATCCAAAAAGAAAAACCTGTGCTGCATTGAATTTAAAAGGCCAGTCATTTTTGACCAGGAACACCTGTGAAGGATTTTCAACAGAGCACAAAATAAGCTACCTTTATTTAAAGCTAAATTACAATAACCATAACATATTAATGTTACAGTAAGTTTAAATGTGCTTCACTCTCCAGGACAGCCACTTCAGTGACTTCGTAGACACCCTCACAGAGTACGAGACCAAGAACGTGCTCGCGACTCTCATCATGAACGGCAAGGACATGGTGGCCGTCATGATGGCGGTCAACAAGATTGGCGCTCCTCATTTCACTGCTCAGGATGAAGAGGTAGCATTCACTTATATCATCCTCTGTGATAGCGAGTACAGCGCTTTGTGTTTATGCTCAACAATAAGTCGGAGTCTCGGTGAGGATGCCAATTTGAAACGTAAACAATGCCAGAAAGATTAATTATATGCATTATGCTTCCCACACATACTTTTAATCTCAAATGTTTTCATTGAATATTAATACAGTAAAAGCATTTTGATTAAACAGATTTCTACAGAACAGATTAAACGCTCTGTTGAAGTCAATCGAGCTCTGTGTCTTGTAGACGCTGAAGAAATATCTCAACTTTGCCAATCTTGTGCTTCGAGTTTTTCACCTGAGCTACCTGCACAACTGTGAAACCAGAAGAGGACAGGTGGGATTTCTGGGAGATTGAGATTTAAGACATTGACCCGTAAACACTGCCACTCCGTGATCTTGTCATTTTTCCTCTCATCTGCTTTGCAGGTGTTGCTCTGGTCTGCCAGCAAAGTGTTTGAGGAGCTGACTGACATTGAACGACAGTTCCACAAGGCCCTCTATACAGTCCGAGCCTTCCTTAACTGCGACCGCTACTCTGTGGGCCTCCTCGACATGACTAAAACTTAAGTGATTCATTAGTTATTTATTGCATCAAATATGCAGCTGGATTTGTAACTTGTAATTTGTCTGTTGAAGAGTATTGAAATAATTAGATTTTTGTTTATTTGTCTGTAGGAGTTTTTTGATCTTTGGCCCATACTGATGGGAAAGGTGCCTCCTTATAGTGGACCAAAGACCCCTGATGGCAGAGTGAGTGATACACCGAATAAATAGGGAATATGTGTTTAGTTAGTCATGTTAGAGAAATTAATTCTTACATGCTGTCACATGTTTGACTTACGGTATTAATGTTGCTCCAGGAAATGATTTTCTACAAAGTGATTGATTACATATTGCATGGAAAGGAGGACATCAAAGTCATTCCGTAAGTTAATGCATTTTATATTGCCTATTAAATTTGAGCTTCCACTTGGCATTTAATTAAGCCCAGTGTTGCCACATGCATTATCATGCATCATTCTACATTACATGCATTGTAATTATAAACATACTGTATCAAGAAATAGCATGTCTGGCTCTCCAGTTCCAAGATGTAAGGTGGGTCAGACAGTTCTGGGTGTTTGCAAGGGTGGGCCAAACTCATGACTGGGCCCATCTTCAGGAGGCCCTCCTATTGAGCCAGGTCTAAGACATAATTATTTATTTGAAAGTACAAATCTTCATATTCCTGGCATATATACACTACCATTCAAAATGTTTTTTATTTAGCAAGGATGCATTAAATTGATCAATAGTGAGAGTAAAGACATTTATAATGTCACAAAATATTAGAACTTTCTGTTCATCAAAGAATCATGTGGGTAAAAAAAAGCATATCTGTTCAACTATAATAATAAT